ATCATAAAAATAAGAAGTTCATAAAATTTCTTTCATTTGACAAGTATTGAATAAGCATTTTATGCTGTTTTCTAATTTATGTATTAATATTTTTTTACTTACTTTATTATTTTATATTAATTAAAAATGTTTACACTTTATAAAATGTAAAGGTAATTATAATATTCTTTTTCAGAAAAGAAATTAATGTAACTGAAATTAGGGACAAAGTTTTAATATTCATTTAATATGTCATTTTTGGTAAGTGTTTTGAAAACAAATTTCCATAATAGTAATTTGTTTTAAGCATCATAATTTTAAGATCTGATTATAACAATATAATAAAATAAAATTATAAAAATATGTTCATGACAATTTATTTTTCTTATTTGTAATTAAACACAAACAATATTCAACATATAATTATAAATTAAACTTAAACCTAAATAAATAATTTTTATAAGAAATAACTTTCTGAAGAAGATAATTGGATTATAATTTATTGCAGTAATAAACTGAACTTAAAATGAAACTATTTCATTTTAAATACAGAAATATTCTGGAAAATTTCACATTATTTCATAGATATCATCAGTTTGTTTTGTTAAGTTTATGGCAATACAACACTTAGGCAATCTGCCTAGGGGGATGCCTTCTGGGAGGTCTTTTTAAGGATAACTGGTCCCTATTCAGGCATTACAGATGTGGAGAAAACCAAAAAACTCCACACGGCAAGACCATCCTGGCGAGGTTTGAACCCATGACCGAACTCCCAGTTGAACATGGAGTTCAATCGTGGGTTTGCAGGGAAGGGAACCACTTGGCTACTGGTGGGCACAGATATCATCAGTACTAATAATTCTGAACCAAAACTTATTCCTAGATTTCAAGCAAATATTTCTCATTTAAATCATAAATTATAAAAATGATATTAAATATTTTTTGTAAGTAAATATTTGTGATTTTCATACAATGCAACAAATTTAAATGACGTTTATTATTTTAAATACACATATTCTTATTTAATATGTGGGATTCAAAAGCTAAGATAATTTTTTTATCTAATTGAATCTGACAATTGGCAATTCCAATAATTGAAAATTTATTAAAACCACATAAAAGTTCAATTATAAAAGTCTACATGCCAGTTGCAGTCATTTTTTTTGTCATCACAAAAGCTACTATCATAATTCATTATGCAATTAGCATCATATTTTAATCATGTTGATAAAACATAGTTTTGGTTAATCAGAACCTAAATACATAAGACCACAATTATGTCAATCTGAAAATCATACCTCATATAACATTTTGATGTCTCCACTAATTCTGTATACATGATGTATGTAGGTTTCATTCCAAAGATGCATGAAGATGGATGGATTGCTACTGGTTGTCGAGGAGTATCTATCTAAAATAAGAATTTAGTCATTCATATTAAATATTTCAATAATATAGAAAAATTACTATTATGAAGTCTTATGTACAATGTTTTCAAATATTATGCAATCAATTCAATCTATTGGTATCTTATAAGTTGTTAGTACACTATGATAAACGTTTTTAGATAAATAAATAAACAATGAATGAAAAACATAGTAGATATTTAAGGAAACAAAGTCTTATTTCTCAGAAAATGCCAAAAATGATGTTTAAAAAGGGTGTTGTGAGTTTGGTACATGGTTTAATGTTTGGGACAATCAGTTATATCTGTTGAAGATGGCCTATTAGCTTCATTGGGAGCTGAACCATATTTGGAAAATCACTTACATCCACCTTTTTAAATCAGTAAGCTTTAGTCCTTCAAACACAAACATTTTCAATAATTTTTAATGATGGTCTTCAGACTTAACTTTTTTGATTCAAAGTTTTTGAGGCTAAAAATGACATTCACACTGGAAGGGGAGGGACTTATGACAGGTTAGACAAAGTCCAACAAGGGAGTGGGGAGGGGTTAAGCTTCAGTGGACATCCATTTATTTCATTGAATTTTACACAGTTTATGCATTTTATTACATTTATTTCAAAATTTCTTGTATGTTTCGTTTTCGCTTATGGTAGCTATCATTCATAAAGTCATGACAGTTTTAAGGAGAATCAAGTTTTGTTGGAAGTTTGAAGGGTTTATGAAAACTTGGACCAGAGGGGGATGGGGAGTAAAACTTTCAAGAAAAATGCAGATGTAATTTATGGAGAGGAGAGCCCCTTTGAAAATAACAGAAAAATATATTTGTGACATTCTGAGGGGGGAAATGAAAGTAATTAAATAATTCAATAATTAAGTTACATGTTAATATGGTGATGAGAGAATCAAGCCAAAGGGAAAATAAATAGTAGAGAAATAAATAACCAAGTGGAAAAAATCCACACACATCCTATTTCTCCCGATTTCTTAATAGATAAGACCGATCAAATATCTCTCCAATTTAACAATTATTACTAAGGTTGTAACCCAAACCCCGACCTTAGTCACTACCGGCAATTAATTTGATAGGTTTGACAGCTGTTATCAATTTTATGAAGTAAGACAAGTAACAAAGCTGGATAGAAAGTGTCAATAATTCATTGAAACAGCCGATTCGTATAAACAACACAGTTCGAACTTAGAACACATTACTGCAAGATTGCATCAGCCAGAAATGGGTATAAAAAGAACTTGTACCCAATCATCAGGGCGGACATCAGCAGTCACCAGCGGACATCACCAGTAGACAATGACCCGCCATAATCAAGAGAAGATCTCCAGTCACCCNGACTTTTCATCCAAGGTGAATGTTAAAATAACCATAAAATGATATTAAAAGACTTTAAAACCATTACTTGATGTTATTTTTCTCATAAATGCATTTTATCTTCTGATCCTCATCAGTATGTTATTACACATGTATACCTGATCCAGCATAATATTTACAGCATATCCAGCATGTAAATATTATGCTGGATATGCTATTTGCATATGCTATAATTTTAATTTCTTGGATTAACAGTCAATTCATTGAGGTTTTTTTGACATTGTATAACGTGTATTAAACTGAGTGTATAAGATTATTTATTTTTACTGGTGTAAAATTGTAAAAATGTCTTTAAAAAATTATAATTAAGCTACCCATGAAATAAACTCATATTAACTATAATCATAAAACATTTAAATAAATTCAATAGTTATTCACAAAAAATTTTTAAATTAAAACAATTAATAAGAGAAATTCATAATACTATAGGCAATATTTACATCGATATGCAGTAAGTTCAAATGCAAACAATATTTAAAATTATTAGCATTGACATAAAATAAACATTTAAAATATTATTGAAAGCTTTAACCTTCATCGTCATTAGCACACATTGAAATAAATATTTCACAACAAAAGCATTTCTAAATTTTTTTGGGAATGTGACAGCTCCTGTTTTACTAATTGCTTTATCCACTCACTTTTTCAAGAAGCCAGAAAAAGATAGTTTAATGTTTTCCAAGAATATATTAACCTATCTTTTGTTTTCTATCTTCTTGACAAAGTGAGTGTTTGTCTAAAACAATCAGTTTATAACATGAAATATACTAATTTTTTGTGTGTATATATCTATAAATCTATATATCATATAATTATATGAATTATAAACACAAAATAAGATTACAACAATATAAAATCTGAATATGATAATTATAATTTTTATATTTATTCTATTTAGTTGTCTAAGCATTAATACCTATCATAAAAATAAGAAGTTCATAAAATTTCTTTCATTTGACAAGTATTGAATAAGCATTTTATGCTGTTTTCTAATTTATGTATTAATATTTTTTTACTTACTTTATTATTTTATATTAATTAAAAATGTTTACACTTTATAAAATGTAAAGGTAATTATAATATTCTTTTTCAGAAAAGAAATTAATGTATCTGAAATTAGGGACAAAGTTTTAATATTCAATTAATATGTCATTTTTGGTAAGTGTTTTGAAAACAAATTTCCATAATAGTAATCTGTTTTAAGCATCATAATTTTAAGATCTGATTATAACAATATAATAAAATAAAATTATAAAAATATGTTTATGACAATTTATTTTTCTTATTTGTAATTAAACACAAACAATATTCAACATATAATTATAAATTAAATTTAAACCTAAATAAATAATTTTTATAAGAAATAACTTTCTGAAGAAGATAATTGGATTATAATTTATTGCAGTAAAATAAACTGAACTTAAAATGAAACTATTTAATTTTAAATACAAAAATATTCTGGAAAATTTCATATTATTTGATAGATATCATCAGTTTGTTTTGTTAAGTTTATGGCAATACAACACTTAGGCAATCTGCCTAGGGGGATGCCTTCTGGGAGATCTTTTTAAGGATAACTGGTCCCTATTCAGGCATTACAGATGTGGAGAAAATCAAAAAACTCCACACGGCAAGACCATCCTGGCAAGGTTTGAACCCATGACCGAACTCCCAGTTGAACATGAAGTTCAATCGTGGGTTTGCAGGAAAGGGAACCGCTTGGCTACTGGTGGGCACAGATATCATCAGTACTAATAATTTTGAACCAAAACTTATTCCTAGATTTCAAGCAAATATTTCTCATTTAAATCATAAATTATAAAACTGATATTAAATATTTTTTGTAAGTAAATATTTGTGATTTTCATACAATGCAACNTTTCATTTTAAATACAGAAATATTCTGGAAAATTTCACATTATTTCATAGATATCATCAGTTTGTTTTGTTAAGTTTATGGCAATACAACACTTAGGCAATCTGCCTAGGGGGATGCCTTCTGGGAGGTCTTTTTAAGGATAACTGGTCCCTATTCAGGCATTACAGATGTGGAGAAAACCAAAAAACTCCACACGGCAAGACCATCCTGGCGAGGTTTGAACCCATGACCGAACTCCCAGTTGAACATGGAGTTCAATCGTGGGTTTGCAGGGAAGGGAACCACTTGGCTACTGGTGGGCACAGATATCATCAGTACTAATAATTCTGAACCAAAACTTATTCCTAGATTTCAAGCAAATATTTCTCATTTAAATCATAAATTATAAAAATGATATTAAATATTTTTTGTAAGTAAATATTTGTGATTTTCATACAATGCAACAAATTTAAATGACGTTTATTATTTTAAATACACATATTCTTATTTAATATGTGGGATTCAAAAGCTAAGATAATTTTTTTATCTAATTGAATCTGACAATTGGCAATTCCAATAATTGAAAATTTATTAAAACCACATAAAAGTTCAATTATAAAAGTCTACATGCCAGTTGCAGTCATTTTTTTTGTCATCACAAAAGCTACTATCATAATTCATTATGCAATTAGCATCATATTTTAATCATGTTGATAAAACATAGTTTTGGTTAATCAGAACCTAAATACATAAGACCACGATTATGTCAATCTGAAAATCATACCTCATATAACATTTTGATGTCTCCACTAATTCTGTATACATGATGTATGTAGGTTTCATTCCAAAGATGCATGAAGATGGATGGATTGCTACTGGCTGTCGAGGAGTATCTATCTAAAATAAAGAGTTTAGTCATTCATATTAAATATTTCAATAATATAGAAAAATTACTATTATGAAGTCTTATGTACAATGTTTTCAAATATTATGCAATCAATTCAATCTATTGGTATCTTATAAGTTGTTAGTACGCTATGATAAACGTTTTTAGATAAATAAATAAACAATGAATGAAAAACATAGTAGATATTTAAGGAAACAAAGTCTTATTTCTCAGAAAATGCCAAAAATGATGTTTAAAAAGGGTGTTGTGAGTTTGGTACATGGTTTAATGTTTGGGACAATCAGTTATATCTGTTGAAGATGGCCTATTAGCTTCATTGGGAGCTGAACCATATTTGGAAAATCACTTACATCCACCTTTTTAAATCAGTAAGCTTTAGTCCTTCAAACACAAACATTTTCAATAATTTTTAATGATGGTCTTCAGACTTAACTTTTTTGATTCAAAGTTTTTGAGGCTAAAAATGACATTCACACTGGAAGGGGAGGGACTTATGACAGGTTAGACAAAGTCCAACAAGGGAGTGGGGAGGGGTTAAGCTTCAGTGGACATCCATTTATTTCATTGAATTTTACACAGTTTATGCATTTTATTACATTTATTTCAAAATTTCTTGTATGTTTCGTTTTCGCTTATGGTAGCTATCATTCATAAAGTCATGACAGTTTTAAGGAGAATCAAGTTTTGTTGGAAGTTTGAAGGGTTTATGAAAACTTGGACCAGAGGGGGATGGGGAGTAAAACTTTCAAGAAAAATGCAGATGTAATTTATGGAGAGGAGAGCCCCTTTGAAAATAACAGAAAAATATATTTGTGACATTCTGAGGGGGGAAATGAAAGTAATTAAATAATTCAATAATTAAGTTACATGTTAATATGGTGATGAGAGGATCAAGCCAAAGGGAAAATAAATAGTAGAGAAATAAATAACCAAGTGGAAAAAATCCACACACATCCTATTTCTCCCGATTTCTTAATAGATAAGACCGATCAAATATCTCTCCAATTTAACAATTATTACTAAGGTTGTAACCCAAACCCCGACCTTAGTCACTACCGGCAATTAATTTGATAGGTTTGACAGCTGTTATCAATTTTATGAAGTAAGACAAGTAACAAAGCTGGATAGAAAGTGTCAATAATTCATTGAAACAGCCGATTCGTATAAACAACACAGTTCGAACTTAGAACACATTACTGCAAGATTGCATCAGCCAGAAATGGGTATAAAAAGAACTTGTACCCAATCATCAGGGCGGACATCAGCAGTCACCAGCGGACATCACCAGTAGACAATGACCCGCCATAATCAAGAGAAGAACTCCAGCCACCCATATCTACATTGCCGGATTCACCTCCTTCAGACTCTTAGCCTTAGAGCACTGATTGTTCAGCCAACATCACATAGAAGAATCTAGGAGCTATGAAGAGATCTATGAAGTATTTGTTAGATATGTGTAAACTCTCTCTCTGTGCCTAGATTTAACAGATTTAAATTTGTTGTGCCACTTATATTTGTGTAGCTTATAACATGTATAATCCCATCTTTAGCTATACTTGTAACTTTATGTATCTTAGTCTAGAGCAGTGTTTCTTAACAGGGGGGCCATGGCCCCCTGGGGGTCCATAAGAAGTTTGCCGGGCTGCCAAATTATGCAAAATTTCCATCAGAATATAATAAAAAGAAAATTGATGTATAACCGAATATCGTATTGAAAAGTGAAATAAGAAAGATAAAGTTTTCGTATTTAGTTTTTTTATTTATTTCTTTCTACATACAACTTTGTTAGTACAGAAGAAATAAATGCAAATATGCTATTTACACCACAGTATTTACATCTTTTATTTCAAAGTAATTCTAAGAAACTATTAATGCTTGGAATTTTAAAAGTAATTAGGAAAATAGTAGGCTTAGTAGTAGGCTTTGAAATTTTAAATGTTTTTGCAAAAGATATGTAAAATCTTTACAAGTTGTGGGTGTTTTAGTTTTAGTTTAGTTTTAGCATCGACTTTGGATCGAATAATCAAACCAAAAATTAACAAATTAGTTGAGGATATTCAGCAGCAGAAATCTCATTAAATTATTTTCAAATATATTTTGTTTTTTCTATGAATTTTTAAACATTTCTTATTTTATTTTTTGTTAAAAATTAATCAGATTTTATGTTTAATTGTGAATTTTGGATGTTATTTAAATAGATAATAAAATAATAAAGTTATGTTTTACATTTATTATATAAAAAAATAAAACAATAAAAAAATCAATTTATTATAGATAATTTAACAAATATAAATTATTATTAAAAAAATGGGGGTCACAAAAAAATTATGAAATATTTGGTGAGCTGCGAGTATAAAAAGGTTAGGAACCTCTGGTCTAGAGAAATATTAAACTGTGATTGTGCTTATTTTAAACCTGTCTGTTTATTGGAAACAACAAACACCTATCAGCTTACCTACACGTATTCTCCACTATATTTATAGCCCTCCTTAAAAGAATTTTCTCTAATTACCATGTGACAGGGTGCAAGATAAAATCCCTATGTGGTGTCAGTCCTGACATTGACCGGGAATTCCAGATCCATGACCTAAATATAACTCCCAAACCATCCTAGACAATGTGAATGGGTTCTACCAACCCGTTGCCGGTAAGCAGAGTTGAGAGTTCGCCCTCTTGGTTCTCACATATTCAACAGAACATAGAATTCTTGAATATAGTTTAAACTATTGAATATTACAAGCAGTATTTAACATTTACAATTACCAAACTGAATAGAATTATGTTAGTGCATACTAAAGGCAAATAGTTATAAATAATTAAATACTACCTAAAATTGATATTTCATCCTAGTGTAGTTTTATATGGTGTCGGCATTACAGTAGAGCATCGTTTATCCGAAATGTCAATTATCCGAAAGAATTCCAGTCGACAAATTTAAATTTTCGCCAGTGCTGTGGCGCTGCAATCTTTGGCTATGTCTTGGGCTACTCAAATATTTTACGTTTTTGATACTAAATTAACTTCTGAAGTATAATTTTTTATTGTTTTTATATTTTTCAATATATTTATTTTGTTTGTACAAAATAAAAAAATAATTTTTAACAATACAATAGTCTTCGTTAGGCTTAACATCAATGAAAATTCAACGCAAAGCGACACACAACGGAGAAAAATTTCAACATGGGATAGGTTAATATATTTTTTCGTACATAATCAGTTATCTGAAATATCAATTTACCGAACAACCCCAGTCCCCAATTGATTCGGGTTGATTCAGATAAACGACGCTCTACTGTATTACCTTGCATTGTGGAGAACCTTGTATAATGACTTCCACACTGTTGAGATGCTACAAAAGTCCTTTTAGTACAGATTTTTCTCTAGAAAGTCAAATTATATATCTCAAGCTCCTCAAGCCTCTTTAGGGTGAACAAGTTGTATATGAGCATTATTACTTCTGTGTCTTTAATGTTTCTACATTTGGGTCTAATGCATAAAGATTAAAGCTTGCTGATTTAAATAGGGTGAACATAATTGATTTTCTAATTGTTTCTGGTTGTGTAAACATTTATCAATACATACTATAACAAGCTGGCAACTGGTTGTAAAACTTCACTTGATCAATTCTACTAATATTGATATTTACAGACATATATCAAAAACTTTGCTTTACTAGAATCCATTCTAATAACAGTTTTTCTCTAAAAATCTTTAATTAGAGTGAATGTAGGACAGATACTTTTGTCATATCTTTTTAAGAATTTGGAATTATGTCTCATTAAATATTTATAAGCACATGAAAAAGTGCTCAGAAATGTATAAATTAATTTAAATACATTTGTTACAGCACATAAATCAGAGCTTATCTTAATCATCAAGAAAAACAATCTCATTTTGGATTAAATATTCAAACATGAAAAAAAATATAGATTGTATATATAACATTAAATGACAACTAATTGATAAAAATAGCATGTCAAAATCTTGCAATAAAAGAGATAATACAGTACTCAACATCTGACAGGACAGGAACAGAGATTATCTACAGGTGATAATACAAGAATTTAGAAATTGCTAACACAAGCTTCATTAATTTCTTTCTTTCAAATGTTATAAATATTTAATAATATTTCTATCATTACTTTTTAATTTTGTTACATTTTTATATTGTTTAAGTTTATGTATTTTAAGTAATTATTAAAGCAATATAACATCTATACATTATTTCATTACACAAATTTAAAAAAAATCATTCCCCATAAGATTTTCTCCCGAATCCATATTTAGATATGGAACGTATCTATTTTGAACTACTAAACCACAATATTAAACTGGGAGATTTTATCTTATCTACATTTCCCATTATTATCTTAATCAAAATTTACAAAATTATTTACATTCTCAAGAGTTTGCAAATGTAGAAATTCTCAAAAATAAACTAAAATTTTGATTGTTCCACAAATCAATAGATTTTTTTCATACAGGATTTAAAAAGTTGATAGATAGATATAATATTATTGGAAATAGTAATAAAAATCTTCCCATTACTATGTAATGATAACTGATTTTAAAATAAATTTTGTGATTTCTGTAATTTAAAATTAGTCTAAAATAAGTAACATTCCATGATATACTTACAGATAAATAACCACCTTCTGTTTGTAATTCAGCTACATTCATAAATAGGCCATATGTAAGACATTTCCTATAATAAAAACTGAAATTTTACTTAAACTCATAAAAATAATAAAGTGAAAAACTTCATACATTCACTAACAATGACATATATACATTCACAAAAAGTTTTTACAAATAATTGATAATAACTATATAAATCATAGTTCATTATTTCATGTATAAACTTTTAATTTAGAAGTATATTAGATTAAGAAAGACAATATGACAGTTCAATTCTGTGTTTATATAAGATAATTCCAATTTTAAAATATGATAGCTCCTCATTATATCACTCATTTGGATATATTGCATGTTTTTTGTCTTTCAAATATAAAAGCATCTTTAGCAAATAATGGATAGATAAATCAATTATATTGTACCATTTGAAACATTGTTCATTTGGTTTGTCTCTACAGTATTTTAATTTTTTTCAAACCAAGAATACTATAAAACAATACATTTGATATAAGCTTCAATAAAGATGGTTATATCTTGTTTACTAATGGATATGTTGAGTAAAATGCATGTAAAATATTTTAAAAGTATCTAAACATTCACAAAAATAATTCCCAGATCTCAGAAAATAACAGTCTTACAGCAGAGTCCACTTTTATTTAGACACTTTATTGAGAGACATCTTATTTTTGTGAATTTATATTTACTATCCTGGCCATTTTATCAACCTAAATATTCTGTTCTCTATAAGTGACTAAGTATCTACTTATATAAGTCATTGATGCCACCATTTATATATCTGTCATCTGTAATTTGTCATGGAATGCCTAGAACGCACACTAGGGAGCATCCCTAGCAATGATTTTCAGCTATTATTTAAATTAATAATATATTTTATTTATAACAGTATATATTTTATAAATACTAAAAATAAAAAATATTCCTAGTTTTAAAAACAAGTAAAAAAATACTCTGACTTCTCTCAACTTCGAGGAACGATACAAGTTAAACAGACAAACTTGATTGTAATATAAATAAGAAAAATGTTAAAATATATTAAAAAAAAAAATGTTAAAATATATAAAAAAGAAAATTGTATTGAAAGAAGAATTATTGAGCATTTTTGCATCATTATGCATGCAAATTTCATAAATTTAAATACCAGGATGAATGTTGATGCATGCTGGGAAAAGTTTACTTGACATAAAACAGGAGCAGTGATCGATAGTCTGATGTATCCACTGATGAGGCTTACTCGTGAAGCAAAATGCATTTGGAGTATATCAATTGTAGATAAAGTGGAATAAAAAAGCTGGTAATAATGAAAATTTAAGTTTTCGTCATTAGTTTGTCTGTTTAACTTGTATTGTTCCTCGAAGTTGGAAGAAGTCAGAGTATTTTTTACTTGTTTTTAAAACTAGGAATATTCTTTATTTTTAGTATTTATTAATTATACTGATCCCATTGTTGTTAATTATTGAATATATAATTTATTTATTAACAGTATATATTTTTATTTTTATTTGTAATAGGAATTTATTATTTATATAAATATTATTTATACCATGGAATGACACCGCTGCTGCTAGAATGTCCAATAGAGGACATCCCGGGTTACTAGTACTATATAAACAGCTAGTACACAACATAAAAATAAAACAGAACTGCATTTGAAACTAATTCAAAACAAATAAATCACTTAACTCATAAATTTTTAAATAAATGAATCCTAATGTAGTTAAATTTGATTTACAGTAGTACCTCAGGATACGAACACTTCAGCATATGAAATTTTCAGGATAAGACATGAAATTCGAACATATTTTTGCTCCATGGTACGAACAAAAACTCACCATACGACATTACATTAGTTCACAGTGCCACTGCCATGATCACATGTTCCTTCTGTTCATTGGTCTCAGTCCACGTGTTTGCTTTGTCATGGAAGGATCTCACTCAATAAAGGAAATCTTGAGGTATTATCAGAAAGTGACTGATTTTATTGAAAAGAAACATCTCGAAAAGGTTCACACTGGCTGTATTGCTGCTCAGTTTAATGACATTTGCCTAAGTCATTTTAGAAACATTTTAAAAAGTAGGCAAAGCCAAACCTCTTTGGATAGATATTTTACCAAGCGACCATTATCCAATGAAAGTGCTGGTGGAAGTGAAGGAAAGAAAGCAAAAAGCAGTAATAAAAAATTAAAAATATATATGTTACTGTAAATGACCGATATCTGGCGAATGTAAACATTCTCCAGTGAATGTCAGCATTCACACAGTTGTTTTGTGTATGTATGAAATATTTGCTAAATATCGTTATTTCTCACTTTCACCGGCAAATGTCGACATTCAGCATGCACCGATGGTGAATGTTGAATAAAAATATTTTTGTTGTTGTCGAAAGGTTGTTGTCGTCAAAAAATATTTTTATTATGTTAAGACAAAAATGCAACTTTTTATTATGTCAAAATAGGATAAAGCTTAAGTAACAGCACATGTAAATAAACTGTTAAACCTAAAATGAACAGTACATTCTAAATCACCAAAGAAAATAATACAATAATAAACTTACACATANAAAAATATTTTTATTATGTTAAGACAAAAATGCAACTTTTTATTATGTCAAAATAGGATAAAGCTTAAGTAACAGCACATGTAAATAAACTGTTAAACCTAAAATGAACAGTACATTCTAAATCACCAAAGAAAATAATACAATAATAAACTTACACATAAATTATGTGATTAACGTTATACAATCTTATTTATCGCAACAACTTAAACTGTTATGGCACTTTGAATTGCACAAGAGTTCCTTGCTTTTACAAATGCATTTATTCGTAGAACACTTTTTTGTAATGACAGCGTGTATAGCCTTGCCCCCTTCCACTTTTAGAATTAGCTGCAGCTGCTTCTCTCGGCAATATTTCTTGAGAAAAAATCTCATCTATGGAAATTAACCTTTCTTTACAAATTAGAAAGTGATTATGGGTATAAAACTGCTTCAGGGTACCATTTTTGTTTGCTAATTTATAAATGTCAGAGTCTTCTATTCCAACAACAACCGCCAACACATTTTGGGTATCTGTACGGCCACAGTCGACATCAGGAACTTGTTTTCATAGGGTATCACCAATTTGAGCAGAAGAAAATGGCAAAGAACTTGGCGACAAACTGTCGCCTCTCTCGGGTGTCGTTTCGACCTCCACCAAAGCTTATCTGTGCTTGTCGACATACACCGATGATTGTTCGAATGTATAATAATATAACCAAATATTCAGTCTTTCACCGATGTATTTTGTATGTGTCAACATTCACTGGAGAATATCGATATTCTCTAATTTCAGTTTTTCACAGTAACATATATACAGGGTGACCCAACAAAAACGAAACGGCGGAGTTATCGTGTTCGTCCAAGCAAATCGCTCAGACAGGTCGATTTTAATCTCAAGGGGGACATTTTCTGCAATGAAGTTTTTGCGATTCTGAATACAACAGACAACAAAAAATTTTAAAAACTCATTCATTTTTTTATTAACTAAACAAACATTTATTTCAAATAAAGTAACAAACATAAGAAAAAGTTATCAAGTATTCAATAAATGTTCGAATTGAGCACCACTAGTCTCCATACAATAATACAAATTTTGCTCAAAACGGTTCCTTACACTTCGGAAAGTTTCGGGTGTTATTTTAGAACACTCGTCTACAATTCTTTGTCGTAATTCTTCAAGAGATCCTGGTTCGGTTGCATAGATCTTACTTTTTAAATGTCCGCAAAGAAAAAAATCAAGAGGACTAAGATCTGGGGATCTAGCCAGCCATTCTAAAGGACCTCTACGTCCGATCCAATGCCCAGGAAAAACCGTGTTCAAAAATTCTGTAACTGGCCTTGCATAATGCGGGGGGGCTCCATCTTGTTGGAAAGTAAGGTGGTCTTCTAAGTATCGGTCGTCATGTTCGACGATATCAACAAGTAATGGATGTACAACATTTTCAAGTAAATCTAAATAACTTTCTCCCATTAGATTACCACCTAGGAAAATGGGGCCAAGTAATCGATCTCCAAAGATTCCGGCCCACACATTTAGTTTTTGTGGAGTTTGGCTATGAACTTCACAAAATATGCTTGGGTTATTATCTGACTAATATCGACAATTGTGACGATTAACCGTTGAGTTTAAAAAAAACGTGCACTCGTCGGAAAAACAAATGTTAAAAAGATAATCCACGTCAACTCTTAATCTTTCTGTCATAATTTCACAAAACCGTTGTCGCCGATCAAAATCATCTTTATTTAATTGGTGAACTAAATTAATTTTGTACAGATGAAACTTGTGAGTTTTGAGGATCCAGCAAATAGATGTTCTGCTTATGCTAGTCACAGCCTCCAGCTTCCTTATACTTAAAGTTGGGTCTGCAGCAACTTGCCCCAAAATCTCAATCTCTGTCGCTTCGTTTCTTACTGGAAGTTCACGTCCGGGAGTGCGTTTTTTGTTAGCCACAGAACCCGTTAACTTAAACTTTTGAACCAACTCTAGAATGTATTTTGCATTACAATGTTTGTTTGGATAACGTTGATTAAATAAATTTGCAGTAAGATGAGCATTCTCGCCATTTCTGAAATGAAGAGTTACTATTTCTACCCTTTCAGCAATTGTGTAAACCATAACGATTATGTGTACAAAAATTCACAATAAACAAATAATAATCTTAAATTCGAATTGAATCACTATGTGGTCAAGCTTAATGTGAACACTACAAAATACAGGTATAACATTTGGAAACAGATAACACATTATCAACCTTAATTTTATGATCAACTTATTTTTCCTTGCATGTGCGGTCTAGCTTAAAAGGTTTTTTTTTTATGTTTTTTAATAGTTTGTGTTACTTTTTGCTGAAATAAATGTTTGTTTAGTTAATAAAAAATGAATAAGTTTTTAAAAATTTTGTTGTCTGTTGTATTCAGAATCGCAAAAACTTCATTGCAGAAAATGTCCCCCTTGAGATTAAAATCGACCTGTCTGAGCAATTTGCTTGGACGAACACGATAACTCCGCCGTTTCGTTTTCATTGGGTCACCCTGTATAAAACAGAAAAGATAAAAAAAATTAGTGTTAAGTTATTTTTAAGTTATTGTTACATTATGTTATGTAAGTTAAGTTTTAGTATCATTTCCCTTCTCCCTCTCCTCCGCAACCAGTTTACACCTCCACCATCGTCTATCCTCGAAGGTAAAGTGCAAATAAAACTACATTTTTTTTAATCAATTATTATTCTATTATGATTATTTATACATTTACAACTACAAAACACATTTTTCAGTGTTTTCCTCACTAAAGTTTTTTTTTTCAATGTACTATTTAGCTTTAATTTGAGTGTGTTTTTCGTGTTGGAACGGATTATTTGATTTTTCATGTAATCGTATGAGGAAAAATGATTCACCTTACGACATTTTCATGATACGATCTCAGTTTAGGAATGGATTAATTTCATATCCTGAGGTACTACTGTATTAACATTTTATATACTATTATATGAAAATTTAAACAGGTAGACACATTTAAATATGCATTAAATATTAGACAGTTTAATTGCTCAACCATTCTAACAAATATAAGTTTTTAAACATTTTGAAATTGCAAAGCAAAAATGCAATATTATTATTATGTTGGGTTTAGTGAGTTATACTCAGTTGGCACTGGTTGCTGTGTACTATATCGGACCAGAGTCAAGGCATAGAAACCAAAACAAAACAGAAATTAAATATGTGTGCCAGTGTGATGTGTGTGTATTGAGGAATTTCCTAACAATGTGGCATGTATTCAATACAGTGGCCTTCTGTAGTGTGATGTATGTATTTCTACCCAATTATAATGTTCCCAGGCTTTTGTGTAGTGTGTGTGTGTGTGTGGTATCACACCTGTACAGGAGAGAATGACAGGTACAATAAGTACCCTATCCATGCTTGACAGGTGCTTTCCTTCCTGGGAGAGTTCTGTGTATTTGCTGATTTTTTTCAGTGCATGTGTTTTGTACATTGTGAGTGTTTGGAATGGAATATGTCTATAATGTATGTGATTTTATTGTGTTTGTCAATGAGTGTGATGTCTGGTTTGTTGTAAATTATTTACATGTGATTCATTGGCTCTGTCAAAGTACATTTTGTGCATATTGTTTTCCAATACTGTCTTTGGAATGAATTTGTAGAATCGTTTGTGGATAATTTGTTTCTTTCAAGCTCTTGGAGTATTATATTTGCTACTTAATTATGTCTATGTAAACAATCTGTGTGCCAAGAGCTTGCAACCAGAAGTTATGGGAAGTTTGTGTTGTATAGTTTCTGGCATGATGGGACATTTTCTGCATGTGTCATTTGTGACTGATGTATCTTTAAGAATGTGTTTCTGTAGTTTTTAGTATTTATGACATAATCCTATATGGCAATCATGAATCCTTTGGTCTCCCCAAGTCTTGTCAACAAAATCCTGGGCCAGGTTGTAGGGATGCCTGCCATGGTGTGCCTTTCAAACCCATAATTGCTTAATAGTGTCTATGCTTTTTATATGTTGTGTCATGTCTGTATGTTGTGAGTGTAAGTTTAATGGTGTGTTATTTGAGTCTGCTAGAGTTACTGCTTTATGTAACTGTGATGTTTCTTGTTTCTTGTAGAAAAACTCTTGCAGAGTCTGTATTTGTTTGTAGTAAAGGTTTACTATTCAATCAGGCCACATCCGCCATCTTTATGTGGAAGGGTTAATCTTTCTGTGGCAGATTTAGGATGATGTTGTTTATGTTTAGTAAGTGTTGTTCTTGTTTTCCTTTAGAGTAGCTCTGTGTGAGTCCAATGTGTAACTCCAAAAGAATATGTGAGTACTTGGACAACATATGTGTTTGTTGCTTTAACTGTGTTCTGAGAATAGTGTTTAACCTACTTCAGTATTCTTTAATTAATCTTTGCTTTACTTGTGCATGTTCTGTTAGTTTGACCTGTTGGAATCCTAAATACTTGTAGAGCTCACCTTCTTCCATAGATCCAATAACATCTCCATTTCAAAGTGAAAAATCTCCTTTCTTCAGGACTCCTTTTTCTATGTGAAGTGTTTTGCATTTGTCTAGGCCAAACTCCATTTGTATGTCCTTGGTGTATGAATGTGTGATTTGTAGGAGTTGATGAAGTTGATTTGTATGGATGCATAAAGTTTTATGTTGTCCGTGTACGAGATGTGACAAAGTAAACTGTTTTGTTTTTTTTTCATTGTAACCATGTTTGTTTAACATGTTAGATAATGGGTTCAGGGCTAAGCAGAACCAGAGAGGACTCAAGGAATCTTCTTGAAAAATTCTTTTCTTAATGAATATTTGGTTTGTTTGTTTGGAAGTATTACTAACCCTGAGATGGTAGTGTTGTTCTCCAGTGCTGCATAGTGTTTTCGAAGAATGCAATGAGTGATGGATGTATTTTGTAGACATCTTGAATATATAGCAGCCAACTGTGTGGAATGCTGTTGAATACTTTTCTATGGTCTATATGACATGTGTATGTTTCTGTGTTGTTTGTGTGCTTGCTGTAGAATGACTGAATCTATGAGTAACTGTTCTTTGCATCCCGTGATTTCTACGGCAATCTTTTAGTTGTTCTGTAAGAATGTTGTGATCTTCAACATGTTTGTATATTTTGTTTGTAATATAGGATGTCAATAATTTGTAGTGTTGGAAGACATGTAATTGGTCAATGTATTGTGTGGGGTCAGTGTATTGTTGTTTTTAGGTTTCATGTAGGTGATGCCCTGAGTAAGAAATTTTGGCATGTCTTGTGCATTGATATTGATGTGTGTTAGGTTTTTAGCTAGTTTCTGCTACAATGATGTAACTTTTTGTACCAGAAATTGTGAATATTGTCTACACCAGATGTCTTCAAGTTATGTGCTCTGTTAACAGCATAACAGATGTTGTGTATGTTTATTTCAGCACAAGGCATAGTTGGTATGTTGTGCAAGTTTTTGTTCTCCTCCTTGCATCAGCATTGTGTGTGACAGCACTAGAACAAAGAAGACCAATAGTTTGTGAGTTCTTCTTCTGTTGGTGTGCCACTGTGCTGTGTATCAGTGTTTGTTTTGTTACCAATTTGTCTGTAAAAGAGTTTTTCATTGTTTGTAAATAAATTTATTTTGTTGTTTTCATAGCATACGTTTTGTATCATTTGAGTCTACGTACTTTGGCTGAGAGTTTTTGTTTTAGTGTATCAACGTATTCTATAACGTGTGTGTTGTGATTTCATGTTTTGTGATGTTCATGAATTTCTTGAAAATTTTTTCAGTTGTTTCTTTAATTTGGGTGTCATGTTGTTTTTAGTATATTGTGTCAGCCTGCATAATTGCTGTCTAATGTAATTTATTTGTATTTCTATTCTTCTCTGCCAGGCAGGCTTATGAAAGAATTGTGTTTTGTGTATATCTGTCTGCAATTGTATTTTCAGTCCATAGTGTGTCACTACTGTGAGTGCCCCAGAATAAACTAATGTATGAATGTCTGAGAGTGGATGTAGTGTGGTAAATAAATGAGTGTTTACATAATTTAGTGTTTTTCCTATTACCTTAAATGTGTAGATTTTTGGTATTTGTGGTCTTTGTGTGGGAACTGTACCTGTATATTTAATGAGCATTTCCTGAAATAAAAGTGAGCGCATATTCACTAAATCTATATCATCGATGATAACATTATCATTGATGAACGAGGAAGTGTCTGTGGTATCATTACTGATTATTTTATTGCTATTATTAATTTTGTTGTTATTATTATTATTATTATTACAGTAATACCCTGAACTTACACGATAGGTGGGACCGAGCGGTAACTGCGTAAGTCGAATTCGTGTAAATCGGAGTATAATTTCGCATATAAATACATACAAATAATTTTTAATTGGGGCCGGAGACTAAAGAAAACAATAATTTAGAAAACAATGTTTAATAAAATCTTAGATAATACATATATATAACAAATTAGGGCTATATTATTTTACAATTTTTCACATTTACTTGATTATTACGCCATAATTTTAACATTGTTTCCATCTCAGCGATAATACTGTGACGTTTACCAATGATGCTTGAATTTAAAGATTGAGCATTTTTCACAGCTTCGAGAATTTTTTCTTT